GGTTGAAAAAGCAGGAAATAAAGGACAAGTAAGAGCCTAGGCGGGTGGGTGGGCCAAAACAGCACCAGACACAGAACCGGTTCTGTGTCTGCTGTTCTTCAGAGCTACCGGTTCTGTAGAGTCGGACAGAACTGGTAGAATCCCACCCCTGATTAAGCTTGGTTTCACCCAGTCTATATGTGTACTTTTGGTTTTTCTTGCCCAAGTGTAAGTTTTTACTTTTCTCTACAGTGAATTTCATTTTGTTAGATACGGCCCAGTGTTCTAGTCTGTCAAGACCCATCTGGATCTTGAGACTATCTTCCAGGGTGTTAGCTACTTCTGCCAGCTTAGTATCACCTGCAAATTTGGTAAGTTCTCCTTCTATTCCCTCATCTAAGTTGTTAATGAAGATACTGAAGAGTCCTGGGCCTAAGATGGACCCTTGTGGCACCCCACCACTTACTTCCCTCCATGTAGACTTAGACCCATGAAGGACTACACTTACAGCAACTAAGACATCTTGCTTCTCATCCAAAACTAAAGAAGCTTCTTGAGCGAGAAGCAAAATTTTTGAACAAAAAAACTAAGAAAATCCAGTTTGTCTTTTAAAAAGCACCTTTGGAACAACCATGACTTGGATCAATGTGAATCTCCACAGACATACAAAAGCTAAGCGAGGCCTCTGTCAAGCCTCATATCACAGGAGTACACCTCCTTACATTTTGTAAATATTTAAGTATATCTTTTCATGTGACAACGCTGAAGAAATAACTCTTGGCTACAATGTAAAGAAGTGAGTATACGGCTTGTATAAGTGTAAATGTGCTGTCCCCTCAAAATAACACAACACACAGCCTGTCAACTCGTAAAACATTCCAATGCTTGTTTTCGAGTTGCCATAAACGGGGGGGGGGGGGGGGAATCTGAAGGAACAGTATGGCAGTTTAAAACCAGAAGTACATTCCACACTTATCTTACAAAGACTGTAGCTAGGCTACCAGATTCTCTGCCCATGAAAATCCTTTACTGGAGAATGTGATTGATGACACCCAGCTCATGAACGTGCTTCACTGGGAGAATCTGATTTATGAAACACCCATGGGAGAGGGGGGGAAAAGGGTTAGAGGTGACTGTAAATTTCGTATGCCAGAGTTGGCTTCATTTAGTGCCAACATGTTGCTCTGAAGAAATCTTTTGGATTCTTTTGAAGTTTGGCTCGAGGCTCACGATTTAATTATGGCAATCACCAGAACCCTGACACAACCTTTAATGTCTAAACTGCTGGCAACAAAAGTGAGTACACCCTAAGTGTCCAAATGGGGACCAAAGTGTCAATATTTTGTGTGGCCACCATTATTTTCCAGCACTACCTTAACCCTCTTGGGCATAGAGTTCACCAGAGCTTCACAGGTTGCCACTGGAGTCCTCTTCCACTGCTCCATGATGACGTCACGGAGCTGGTGAACATGAGAGACCTTGTGCACCTCTGCCTTCCATTTCAGGATGCCCCACAGATGCTCCATAGGGTTTAGGTGTGGAGACATGCTTGGCCAGTCTATCACCTTTACCCTCAGCTTCTTTAGCAAGGCTGTGGTCATTTTGGAGATGTGTGGCCCAGTCTCCGAAGGGAGGGGATTATACTCTGCTTCAGTATGTCACATTACATGTTGGCATTCATGGTCCCCTCAATGAACTGTAGCTCCCCAGTGCCGAGAGCACTCATACAGTCCCAGACCATGACATTCCCACCACCATGCTTGACTGTAGGCAAGACACACTTGTCTTTGTATTCCTCACCTGGTTGCTCCCACACACGCTTGACACCATCTGAAGCAAATAAGTTTATCTTGGTCTCACTGGACCACAGGACATAGTTACAGAAATCCAGATCCTTAAATCTGCTTGTCTGCAGGAAACTGTTTGCGGGCTTTCTTGTGCATCATCTTTCGAAGAGGCTTCCTTCTGGGATGACAGCCCTGCAGACCAGTTTGGGGCAGCGTGCGGCGTATGGTCTGAGCACTGACAAGCTGACTCCCCAGCCCTTCAACCTCTGCATCAATGCTGGCAGCACTCATATGTCTATTTCCAAAGCCAACCTCTAGATATGACGCTAAGCACAGGCACTGAACTTGTTTGGTCAACCATGGCGAGGCCTGTTCTGAGTGGAACTTATCCTGTTAAACCACTGCATGGTCTTGGCCACCATGCTGCACCTTTGTTTCGGGGCCTTGGCAATCTTCTTATAACCTAGGCCATCTTTATATAGAGCAACAATTCATTTTTTCATATCCTCAGAGAGTTCATTGCCATGAGATGCCATGTTGAACTTCCAGTGACCAGTATGAGTGAAAGTGATAACACCAAATTAAATACAGCTGCTCCCCCTTCACACCTGAGACCTTGTAACACTAATGAGTCACATGATACCAGGGAGGGAAAATGACTACTTGGGCCCCCATTTGTACACTATCACTTATAGGTGTACTCACTTTTGTTGCCAGCAGTTTAGACCAGCAGTCACCAACCAGTGGCCAAGGCCCACTGATGGGCCGCAAGGAAATTTTGGTGGGCTACAGAGAAATGTCACCCCCAGAGCACCCCCCCACCAAATCAATTAATCCAGGCTGCACAGGAACACAAGACTGTACTGCCCGCATGGCCTGCAGGAACCCTCCTCGCCCACTCATTCCTTACCTGGCAAACTTGCCTGCTAAGTTGCTATTTTTCCTTTTTTTTTTACCATCAGCTGTTCTGCTGTGCCTAGAGATTTAGATTAGCTAGGAAGCAGGAAATGGTCGGATTTCTTGCTTTCTAGCTAGTCTTTAGAGCTTCGGCTCTGCTCTTAAGCACAACCAAACCTCCCTTAGGACTGAAGGTTCTATTATTCAGTGCAGACCCATGGCAAGCAAATTTTATGTGACAGACTCAGGTAGCCGATTGCAGATAGATAGATCACTGAATGATTCTGTGAGCAACTCAATCTGCCTGCCTGCTTTGCCTGATTTTGGGTAAAAATTGCTTGTTATAAAAAATTCAATATTTATATAAATATTTATAATATTTACATACAAGCCATGCCCAGCCAGTCACATGACCACCAAACCACACCCACAAATTAGGCCACACCCACAGAACCGGTTAGTGGTCCCTGGGATTTAAAATTATGAGTTTGGTGGGTCCCTGAGGTCCAAAAGGTTGTCGACCCCTGGTTTAGACATTAATGGCTATGTGTTGTTTATTTTGAGGGGACAGCACATTTACACTGTATACTCATTACTTTACATTGTAGTCAGGAATCATTTCTTCAGTGTTGTCACATGAAAATATATACTTAAATACTTAGAAAATGTGAGGGGATGTACTCACTTCTGTGATATACTGTAATTCTAGCAATTGCAGCCCCTTGGCCTGCTAAGATGTTGACCATTCCCAGAACCTGAAGTGCCATGCCATGAAAGGAACACTTTGTATCATAGAGATTAGAAGGGACTCTGGAGATCACCTGCCCACGAGCACAGGATCCAGAAGAATACCTTGGGAATGTCAGAAGATCCTTCCAGGACCATGTCCATACTCTTTCCTGGGGCCAGTTCCATTCTCAGTGGCTGAAGCTTGAACACAGGACCTTGAGATTCTGTCTTTGCGGGGATGGTCGGGCTCTTCGTGCTAGTGCTGATGGCAGGGAATGTGTTGTGCTGGCGAAATGGGGCAAAACCTTCAGTCATCCAATAAAGCTGATGGGTGCGACGCCCACAGTTGGTGATCTTGAAACGATAGCAGCAGGGATCCAAACTAGCAAAGTGACAGAAGATAGACCTACTATACAATTGCATTTCAGAGGAAGCAATCATGTGCAAAATAAGCAAATGAATAAAGACAAAATATAAGAGAAGGAAAATCTAATGGTAGATTACACTCATACCGCTCACCACAAATAATTTTAACCTTGCCTATGTCAATTTCAAAATGGATCCAGGCTGCTGCAGCCATCTTTTCATTTCTTTGCTTGCAACATAGTAAGGGTGTAGGGGATGGGGAAGGCATGGAATGTCAAACCAGACAGTAACAACAGATTTCCCCATGGGAACCAAAGTCATCTCAACAGGTGCTGGCCAGACTGGAAGGAGTTACAAGGGAGATGTCAGAACACCCAATTGGACAATTAGGTGACTAGGAGGGGTGGGATATCTACTTTTTAATTATATGAAAAATGTGGGAAATAGTTAAGAGTTGGTTTTGCTTTCATGCATGCCAAAATGATGTATTCAATGAAACGGTTCTTTGAGAAATCTGAACATCTTGGAGTGTTGACTTGGTTGGGTTTGTCACTTGGAACCTTGATAGGCTATCGATGAAGCATATGATACACCGCTTCATATCACTTTTCTTTCTTGAGGATCTTGTCAACTCCACCCAACCCTGCTTTTCTAAATCATTCTGTTTTTCTCAACCTCGCTGTGGCAGCCCCTCAAATATTGGCAGACTGCTGTGATGATCCAAGGCATGACACAAAAGCAACACAACCAGAGAACAGGCCTAGCTCCCCTTTATTGCTGCAACTTTGCCCCCAAACATCCCCACGTTTACTACAAGTCCTGGAGCAAAGCTCTCATATGCACCTTCAACAGCCTCTGGTAGTCCAGTAAGCAAGATTTGCAAAAAAGGCCTCCTGCAGCCCTCTGGCAGTGAAAATGGAGTTCTACCTCAGTGCTGCAGGAGGCCGTTGCAGCCTAAAATGGAGGGCCATGTGCACCCCTCCTGAGCTCCGTTTTCATTGGCAAGAGTGCTAGGAAAACAAATTACTAGCAAAAGTGGCATTTGATCACAAGGCAAGGAGGCATTGAGAAATGTTTCCCCTTTTGCATTTGTGCATCCAAGAAGGGACAAGAAAGGAGAAAAGAGGAAAGAAAAAGAAAAAGAAGGGAAGATGGGAAGGAAGAACAAAGGAGAAGGAAGACGGAAGGAAAAAGAAGAAAAGGGAAAAAGGAAGGAAGAGTATAATGAGAGGGAGGGAGGATTTGGGGGAAGTCCTGCGTTAGCACTTGGCCACCAGCATCCCGGCTGCCCTTTTGCCAGCCCCTTGTCCTCTCCTCACCTCTCCTTGTGGTCTCCCATCCTATCACTGAGGATGCTTTGGTTACAAAGCCAGGTCACCTTGCATGGAGAGGGAACGGGCCTCCCTCTGACCCACATACTTTGCCCTCCTGCACATACCATGAGCCATTTAGCCAAGGAGAGCAAGAACAGCAGCAGCAGCCTCGAGGAGGAGGTAAGAACAGCCAGGCACCCCATCAGAGAAGTGGGCTGGGCTGGGCTGTGGGGTCCCAGGGCTCTGGGAGTTCGAGGGCTGGGCTGGGTGCTTGCCCTCCACTGCCTAGGGCCCTGGACAGCCTGCACTGCCATCCAGGGATCCTCTGCATGGCCTGAGAGGGGTGGCAGGGCTCCTCTGGAGGACAAGGATTTGGCCCTCTCCCTGGTCTCACCTTCCTCCGCTGGAGACTCCCAGATCCCTCCCCCAGCCCCAGGTTTTAACCTTAAAATGACATATTTAAAGCAGACCTTCTTCTGAAGAAATGCATAGCCAGCCAGGAGCTGCATATTAAGCAAAGTCCTTGCCCCACTGTTAGAAGATTTTCTGATTCCAAACCTGCATTTCTGATGTTCCTCACCAAGCATTTTGAGTTGATATTCAAATCGTCTCATGCAGTTCTATGAGAAGCATCATCAGACCACTGAGTTCCTGCCTTCTTCCATAATTTAAATCCACATCCTACTCAATGAAACATTTGTGTCTTGACTTTTTTCCCGTGTGATTCCCCTTCAAATATCCAAAAATGTGCTGTTATATTACACTTCTAAATCTTTTCACTGGCTTTTCTCTGCAATCTTGCAGCTTCTCTGAATATGCATCCAAGGAATCTCTCAAGTTCTCTCTGAGTTTATTAAAATCAGCTCTTTTAAAATTCAAGACTCTGGTGTCATTATTGCTCATTATTGCTTGTGTTTGTGTTATGTTGAATTCTAGTATGACACGGTCACTCTCACCCAAGGTTTCTGCAGTTTCAACTCCCTCTATCACTTCTTCTCTGTTTGTAAGAATTAAGTCCAATATGGCTCTCCCTCTAGTTTCACCCTCTACCTTTTGGATAACGAAGTTGTCAACTAGGTTGGTTAGGAACTTATTTGATTTCTCATTTGGTGCAGAATAAGTTTTCCAATTGATATCAGGATAATTGAAGTCTCTCATTACTATTGTTGTGTGTTTCCTACATATATTTGTTAGTTGCTTGGCAAAAAGGAAATCTATTTTTTCTGCTTGATTGGGTTTCCTATACCTATGGCCAAGTGATTCTTTTTTTTTCTTTATATTGACCCATATTCTAGGAGGTTTTCATCTTTGGTTTCATGCATTTCTGTAGCATTGTAGTGGTCCTTTACATACAGTGCAACTCCACCTCTTCTTTTATGGGGTCTGATTTTTTTAAAGAGTTTGTATCCTTCTATCAGTATGTTCCAGTCATGGGTTACATCTCACCAAGTTTCTGTTATTCCAACTATATCATATCTACCTTCATGTATTCGTAGTTCGAGTTCACCGTTTGTTCCCCAGAGTTCGCGCATTTGTATATAGGCACTTGATATTTTTAAGTCTGGCGCTGGGAATGCTTCTTGTCTCCTATTTGTGTTTGAGTTTGTCTTCCTTCCTATCCCTCTTTACTTCATTATTTGACTTGCTTTCTAGGGTTTTTTTGCTTGGAATTAGGTCCTGGAGATCCTAAAGATTGGTCACCCCCCCCCTCAATTTTAGTTTAAAGCCCTCCTGATAAGCTGAGCCAGTCGATTTCCAAAAACATTCTTCCCAATCTTTGTGAGATGCAACCCATCCCTTGCCAGAAGCTCTTCATGGAGATAGTACAGACCATGTGTCAGCCTTCAAGATTTTCTCCCTTTGCTTTGCATCTTTCGGCTGTCATAAGTAACGGGGTGAGGAGGGGGGAATGGTTATGGGAAGTGAGCTGGAGGTGTTACAAACCAGAACTGTATAAACTGGGGGGGGGGGTGTCCATTCTTGCTTAGGTTTCTATCCTATGCTATGTGCAGCTGCAACCTTTTATCAAAATATGTCAGTGTCAACGGACAGAAGCCTCATCACCACTTGGAAATGCCCACATGATGATATACACAACTTTTAATTGGATGATCCAATTGAACTATTGGGGGTGGGAACGTTGCCATTACTTTGAAAATGTGATTTACGCACCCATTTTCTCAGATTCAGAATACTTTTGTTGACATTATTCTGAATCTCCACATTACCAGCCCACCCGGAGAATTAATAAATTTTCTTCCGAGGGGGTCTGAACACAATGTCAAATCCAGCCAGCGACCAAGAAGACCTGGGAGCAACTGGAGGACAAGATTCTCTGCTGCTAGAGGAAGCAGGGGAAGCCGACTTGTTAGCAGAACTAAATCTTGGGGAAAAACCAGTTGCAAAACCCAAATGGTCCCTGGGAGTTGGTTGGAAGGATCCTGAGGAAAAGCCTCCTCCAGGAGTGACCACTACCCGTCGGCGTGGGAGAGAGGAGCCATGGCAGGAGAAGAATGAATTTTTTACTAACTCAAGCCATGCATCTTCTAAATGAAGCTATCGGAGAAGCTCAAAGGTATGAGGGAGAGGAAGGGGAGGCAGCCCCAGCCAGAAGAATCAGAGCAGCCACCCCCATAAATTAACCCGGGCTAGCGCAACAGGCAGCAGCAGCCCAGGGGCCCCCAGCGGGAGGGGTAATTGCCAGAAGACATAGAACTCCAAAGGGCCTCCGTTGGAAGTAAATTATGGTGGGGATCCCAAGGAGTTAGGATTCTTCCTGGCACAAGTCTGGAGCCATATGGAGGAATATGGAGGGGATTTTTCCTCAGAAGCAGCCAAAGTTAGATGTGTTACCAGGGCTCTGGAGGGAACAGCTGCATGTCCTAGTCGAGGCTGGTCCCAGGGAGCCCTGATAGAAGCTTTTAAAGATGGGTTAAATGAAAATGTGTATCAAAGCTGTGTTGCCAGAAGAGGCCCTAGTGAGCTGCAGCTGTGGTACGTGCTGGCAGCAGAGGTGGAAATTGATCTGACCCGAAACAGACGCCGGAGGGGGGGTTGGTTGGAGCAAGTCCTCCCCCACCAGCCCTTGAGAAGCCTTAAAACCTCAAAAGGGAGGAATGGTGGCAAAATCCAAGACCACTGCTTGCTTCCGATGTGGGAAGGAAGGTCACCGGGCTACAGATTTCCATGCCAAGCTAGAACCAAAGGGGGTGCCAGGAGGAGGAAGAAAACCTGAAAAACCCCCAGCAAAGCCTCGCGAAGCGGCGCTTAAAGCAGAGGAGGTTGTAGAGATCGCCCCTCCAAAGGAGTTGGGAACTCCAACCTCTTCTGAAGAAAGTGAATCCGAATCGGAAGACGACTCACTGGTAAGTCCAAACAAGGGCTCTATGACCATTCCAGTGAGATTAAGGGTACCCACGTCGGGAGCCAAAGGGGAAATGCTGGCCTTGTTAGACTCTGGGTGCACAAGGTGTGTAATCAGCTCGGAGATAGTGGAGAAAATGGGCTTAAGGGTAAAGACTTTAAAAATGCCCATAGCCTTTTGCCAATTGGATGGATCGGTAGCTGGGGCCGGCCCTGCACATTTCATAATGGAACCAATAGAAATGACAATGGGGAAGCATAGAGAGACTTTGTGTTTTATTGTGGCTCCTGGGATGGAGCGGCCCCTAATACTGGGGTTGCCCTGGCTCCGGAAATGGAA